AAATCTAGAGTTTTTTTATTTACTAGACCAGCGTGTGCTTACGCATAAAATCATGATAATGAAACCTTTGCTTCATCAATCTTTGAATTCGGCAACGTGTTTATCGTATCAATAAATCACATCTAGATCTATAGACATGAAATAAATATCATGAAAGTGATTGCAAACATAGAGATCTATCCTTTTTTAGATCTAGTATAGATTAGGGGCATAGATCACATTAAAACTAGATATTCTAGATTGACTAGATCTAAATCTAGATTATCATGTAGTTGTAGGACTTCAACTTTGTCTTTTTTTTAAGATCTAGTACATATATAGATCTACATGTAACATGTCTCTTTAAATTTTTTACTTTTGATGATTAATACAATATATGATTCCTAAAATGCATTATAAAATTTAAGATAATCTTCATGTTGTACATAAATAGATGTGACGTGTACTTTCATACTATGGAATTTTTATTTAAAGAACTTCTAATTTTTCTATTTATTTGTTTGCAGCTCTGTTTTGGATACAGCTGGATCTGAAGCAGCAACAACGCAACCTTATCGCATTCAGGAATTGGCACAGTTATTGAGTTTGATACTGGACTCGTCATCGACACAGAAGTCCTATCAAATTATTGCCGTGTTTGTGATTCAAACTCTGCAGAACTAAATTTTGATGCCTCTAAGCATATGTGTGAAAAAAACTTCAGTGGCTTAGCAAATTCAATGGACGCCACAGCAGCATCCAAAATTTTTTCACGCTCTGTGGCATCCAGAAAACTTGTTTATGGCACGATGCTGTGTGATGGCGATAGTAAATCGCATTTATCTGCCATTACCAACTCAGGATATGATGTAGAACTCTTAAAAAACGATTGCATTAACAACATCTCAAAAATAATGTTTAATGCTTTGACAATTTAAAAATGTCTAACAAAAAGGAACTAAATTATAGGCTTACAAAGCCAAAAATTTGAAAAAAATTACAAATTACTATTCCAAAGCTCTGCGCCAAAATGCTCCTGACATTCAAGAAATGAAGCTAGCTGTTATAGGCTCATTTTTTCATATGATGAGCTCAGACCTAGATCATAACCACAGGTTGTGTCCTAATGGCACTACATTTTGGTGTCACTTTAAGAGATCAGAGGCACTAAAAAAGCCATACAAAAAACATAATCAGACCATCACATCAGAAATAGGAAAACTGTTATTTCCTATAATGAAAAGACTAACAGACACAGATCTGTTAAAAAGATGTTTAAGAATGGGAACACAAAACGCCAATGATTCTTTTCATTCCCTCATTTGGTAAAGTGCCCCAAAACAGAATTCGCAACATTAAAAACTGTAAGGGCTGCGACATACCTTGCTTTTTTAGCCTTCAATAATGGACCTGATGGCATCTAATCAGTTTTTGACATATATGGCGTTCCCCGGACACTAAAGAACATTTCTTCTAGTGAGAAAAAAAGAAATGTCAAACTACAGCTTGTTAAAAAAAAAGATCTTTTTTACATTAGTGTCCAGGAGAAAAAACTTTAAAAAACGAAGAAATGAGCATGAGCACCGGGCAGAGATTCTGGAAGATCCAACCTATCAATCAGGCCATTATAATAAATATTTTTTTTTTTTGTTTTTATATTATCTATAATGTTTTATTATGTAAATATTCCCTTTTTTCCTTTTTATGGTTTTATATCATTTTAAAAACTTTAAATGCGTTTTTTCAAAATGTATTTTTAGGTGCATGTTGTTCACAAGAATCTCAAAATCTTAGTTCTGTATAAGTTAGACTAATAATTTTTCACATGTAGTTTACTGATAGTATATCATAGGTAATAGGCTGCAAAAGTTTTCAATATGTACAATAATTTTTATAAAAAAAGATAAAAAAAAGATGTGACCTCAGGTGAAAAAAGGGGTCGAAAAAAATATAAATTTTATAAAATTCATAAACATTAAACCAGCAATAATTTCCAAAAGAAAATTAGCCAGTTACCGATGGAATTCAAATATCTATCAGGTGCAATCAAGAAATAGAAAAAAATGTGAGTACTTTAGAATATTTTAAGATTTTCGTAAACATTGTTTATTTTCAAGATGGCCGCAACCCAAAAGGCTACACTCATTAAATGTGTATGATTACTAATGTCTCTATATGTTCTATCAATTCATGCATAAAGCTTTTTTTTTAACTGTAAATTGAAAAAATGGAAATTTCATTGTGCATCCCCCTTAAACTGAATAAGAAGATCCTTGAAACTTTTTACGGCGCGACTATATCTGCTAACATACGGAATAACTTGTTGGCAAGACAACGCCTCATCTAAACTGTTGCGACCTCTAGAAAACATTATTTAAAAAGCATCAAAAATTACACTTACAACATTACCACATATAAAGGAACTTTTTGAACAAAAGTGCATAAGAAAAATCGACAAAATCATGGAAGACAACGGCCACCTGCTCCATCAGAACTACATCAGGTCGTCACGAAGTGGGCGACTGCTGTCAATCAAAACAAGAACGGAGCGGTACAAAAACTCGTTCGTACATCACACGGTCAGACTCTATCACCGCCACTCATTGATCAGGGAACATGAAATGCACCAAGATACCTGTGTGTAGTCGCTGAATGAACTCTTTATGTTGTCTGTTGTATTTATGTGTATTTTTCTGTTGTGTTGTCTTTATATGAGAATAGTCCTTGTAATCACAACAAATTTCCGTAAGGATCAATAAAGCTGTAATAGTCTTAGTCTATTGTCTCTAAACGTCCTTCTATAAAGTAAACAAAAATGATTTGTAATAGTAATATTTCGAAACATTCATTCAAAGACAAAAGTCCAGGCCAGTATTAATTAAATGGTGTGATGAACTGTGTTGATAGAGTTGTGTTGGCTTTTACAATATGGCAAGGGTAACAACTGCTGAAGCCTGATCTTTGACTGAGAAAAACAGGCTTTTAAATTTACTTTTAATAAAATAAAAACATAAACCCAACCATAAACTCATAAAGAAAAGTTTACACAAAACTGCATTGAATTATAATTAAATAATTTCAAGAATTCCAATTCATTTAGTGGCACAGGGCACACCATAGGCAAATTATTCAACTACTTAAGGCCCTTGAATTACAGGGGTCTTCGTGCAGGACGTATGTTAAATTATAATAGAAAAGAATATCCGAAACTTGTCTCACTGTTTATTGTTGTAGTACACTAGTTGTTTTTTTTATCTATTGCATAATTATAATTTTTTCTCTGTTTTTTTTTTCGGGAGGGGGTCTACCAAAATCACTTCAGGTAGGGCCTCCAATTATCTAAGGCCAGCTCTGGCTGGCAGTTCCGAGAAGTACTTGAAGATTTGGAAACCAAACATTCCGATGTTCGGTAACACAGTTTGCCTATGTAAAACCTCTTTTAATGGCAGGCCCGTTCATTCTTTTATGTTGTCCTCTCATCGCTTTTCTGTATGCCTCTTTTTCCTAGTATTGTTCCCTGAAGAAAGGTCTCTGTGAGCCCCGGAGATCTGGTAATTTGTAATGTAAATGGTTTATGTTAGACCAATCATCATAGTACTTCGTCAGACCTGTGACGTGGCAGCGAGATATCGGTTTCTTTAGACCAGGGGTGGGTAAATTACGACCCGCGGGACACATGCGCCCGCAGAAGTGCTTAATGAGGCCCGCGGACACCTAACAATTCAGGCATGCCCATAATATGTAATGTAAGTGGTTTATGGAAGGCCAATCATCATAGTAGTACGTCAGACCTGTGACGTGGCAGCAAGCTATCGGTCTACCCAAACCACGTGACTGGCCTACTGTGACACATGGTCTAGATTCATGTCACTCATTCACACTAGAAAAGAAAAAGTAACTCTGCTTAACACAAATCATAATGAATTGAAAAGTTACTCACCTTTGTTTTTTTGTTGCAAATTGTTTCATAAAACAGTAAAACGAAATGAGAAACTCTTGGCTTTTTATTTCTCGTTCTCAATGTTTCGTTAATGTCGTTCGGAATGTTCGATATAAGAACAGAGACCACAACTAGGAACACACCTCTGTTAGCGACATAGTCTTTGACAATGAATTGGGGAAATGATAATTTATTTCTCACATCTTCGGGTTCAATAAACTTCTAAATAGACTAAAATTAGCATTACACTGGAGCTGGGGAGAGTGTAAGGCCTATGCGTAGGCTATACTTAATGTACAATATTACATAAACAGGTTTGTCTACCTCCTACGATGTAAGCCTCATTATTGCAAGAAATAATCGTAGCTTACGTAGGAGGTACTGTACTATTGGCCTTTTGACTACGTGCGTATGTATTGTATGTATTCTGATAATAAAATTTTGCTTGTAATATTAATGAGACTATTGTTTTAAAAAATCTTGAATGAAATATACACCTCTAAGCTAGTTAAATAAGGAACACAATTTCTAATATTTTAATGTAAAAATCAATGTTGACATATTGAATCGATGATTGCCTAATGGTGAGTTAATACTTGAATTATACTACTTCTTCTGCAATAAACTGAAGTGTTAGGTTTGGGCTTTCTTACATATAAAGCGCATTCAATAACTATAGAAGGTCGGATGTTAGGGGATTTGTCGTGCGTACTAGAAGGCCTAAGCTTGATGCTTTGTGGATCGGGAACCTCAATTGAAAAGATTGATAAGCGATGCCATTGCCATATACAAGATATTTAAAAGTCTACTGAAAGTTCAAAAACAGCATCAACATCAACAACAACATCAACATAAGAATAACAAATGTTTCACTTCTATTACAACTTTATTTCCCTTGCAATTATCTCATACATTTTAACACCTTTGACCCAGTCCCTTCTACTAAGTCCAACAATAGCAACTAGAAATATTCTTGTAATTCTGAGTCAATGAAATGTCTGTAGGCATTTAATTAGTTGACATTTGTACTTACCTTTGTTAGAAGAACTAATATTAGAGATACTAGTATGTACATTTTGAGAATCTGAAACAAGAATTAATATTGTATTGATTTAAGTGTATAACCAATGAACAAAAATGCACATGTCCTCCTTAATCGCAAAGATAATTCAATGATGTAAACGAAAATTGCAAAACAAATGTGTGCTTCGTCTCGACGGTCCAGGGTTCGAATCCAAGCCGCTGTCCCTCCCCCTGCCTTCCTAGGTGAAGCTTGGGCTAGGTAGAAGCTTCCATTAAGGAAGAACAAGCAAAACATATAAAACAGACAGACAACAAGAAAACAACATTGACCATATAGGTATACATCCATAGACCATAGATTCACACTTACAACATACTTCAAGAATTGTAGAACTGCTACCATTAAGAGATCGGCATTACCACAGTTCAAACTAGCAAATTGTTTTGTAAATGCGCATCTCTAATTAACCCTTTCAGTGAGGCACAAGAGTTACTGCTTTTGTCTCACTTCAATACACAGTTTAACATTTTTGTTTTAAAAACAGTTTATTATCATTTCCGGGAAGACATCAATGAGTTTTTTTCAAAGACATGTATAGTGTTGTGCAAGTGCATATTTTAGCGCTGTTCTTTCCTTCAATGAAGTTCAAATGTATTATAATATTTCATCAACGGGAAGATAACGCGTCCAATCAGTTACTTTTTTCTATTGATTGAAAATATTTGTTTTGAAGCGAAACCCAAATCAAGCCTAAAGCTTATGCTGACCGTAGCTTACGTTGCCTATAGATTTTGATGCCTATAGCTTATGTTACCCATAGCTTATTTTGCATATAGCTTATGTTGCCCATACTTTATGCTGCCTATAGCTTATGCTGACCATGCTGCCTAAAGCTTATGTTGCCCAATGTCATGCGCATCTTCTTTTGGTGTTTTCCTTTGTGTACTATAAGAGATTGTGAGTTTTGGTTTCTAGGAACGCGCTTTTGTTGATGTCATTTTTGCTTACTTGTGTTTGCTGCTGTTGTGTGATGAGGCTAGATCTCCGGTGAGTTTCTTGTATGGGTTTTCTTCTCCAGTATTGGGTAAGTTAGTTTATTTTACTATCTTCTATATGTCGTAGATCTAAAATCGTTGCTCTTATAATCGTGAGAATGGCGGTCTCAAAGGAGGGTGTATTTTTCTTATCTAGGGACGCAGGCTTGGGACTCTGCTGGAGTCAAGTCTGAGCTGTAGGCTTGGTAGTTGACTAGTGCCCGTGGCGTTGAGTTGGTGTTGAGAGGCCTGATCGACTATGGCACCAAGATTAAGGTATGCTATAGTTCCTCTGAATGTACTTTGAATTGCTTTATAAATGTTATTGATAATTATTCATAATGTATGCTTCATCATATCATATATTCATTAAATTGTTAAACGTACAATCTTGTTGTTAAATAATGTACATTGCTGTTGCCTTTAGGTTCTTGCGTTACTCTGTTCAGGTTAGGGTACGGGACCATAATATCATACCTAAGCGACAAAACCCACCTGACACCCATAGTTTATGTTGCCTATAGCTTATGTTGCCCATAAATTGAGTTGCCCATAGCTTTTGTTGTCCGTAGTTTATGCTGCCTAAAGCTTTTGTTCTCCATAGCTTATGTTGCCCATAGTTTATGCTGCCTATAGCTTATGCTGACAATGCTGCAAAAAGCTTATGTTGCCCATATTTTATGTTGCCTATAACTTATGACGCCAATAGTTATGTTGGCCATAGCTTAATATGCATACAAATTGTGTTGTCCATAGCTTGTAATGCCTGTAACTTATCTTATCTTCTTATCTTATATAATACAGACGTTGCTTCAAAAAAGAAGATGATTACGTCCTACGCGTCATGCATTTAGTCATGCATATTAACCAATGACTTAAATTCTGCCAAGTCACTGGTTTTCCTGGCTAGCTCAGGCAACCCATTCCATGCTCTAATAGCCATAGTGAAGAAGGAGTATTTGTACAAATTTGTCCTAGCATATGGGACGAGGAATGTGCCTTTATTTTTGTGTCTTTCAGAGTATTTTATTAAATTTTGTTTTTGTATTTGAAGATTATGGTTCAGTGTTTTATGTATAATTGCTACTTTACTTTTGAGTCTTCTGTCCTGAAGGCTTTCTAAATTTAGTGATTTTACTAATGGTGTTACCCTTGTCAAATGTGAATATTCGTTTGTTATGAATCTCACTGCTCTATTTGTGTTTGTTCCAGTTTCTTAATGTTTTCTTGAGTTGAGGGGTCCCACACGGTGGATGCATATTCTATTATTGGCCTAACCAAGGTTAAATAACATTTTAGTTTTATGTTCTTATTTGATTTATAAAAATTTCTTTTAATAAACCCTAATGCTTTGTTGGATTTTTTTATAGTTTCATCAATATGTGGATTCCATGACAGTTTTTCATTTATTATAACACCTAGGTATTTTGAGTTTTTAGTCTGTGTTACTGGTTAGCCATAAATAAGATAAGTGGAATTAATTTGTTTTAGTTTTTTTGTTACTCTTAACAACTGACATTTTTCTGGGTGGAAAGACATGCTCCAATTTGATTCCCATTTCTGTAATTCATCTAATTCTCTTTGTAAAATATCTGTGTCTTATTTTGTTTTTATTGTTCTATATATTTAGCAATCGTCTGCAAATAATCTGGCTTTTGTTCCTGAACTAATGCAATTTGGTAAATCATTTGTGTAAATTAATAATAGTAGTGGACCCAAGACTGTTCCTTGAGGTACACCTAAGTTTACTGTTATTGGTGTTGATTTAGAGCCATTTTTTATTACAGTTTGTTCTCTCTCTATCAGAAAATCTTTAATCCACTGATGCAGTGGACCGTTAATGCCGAAATATTTTAATTTGTTAAGCAAACTATGGTGGTGAACTTTGTCAAAAGCCTTGGAAAAATCTAGTAAGATAGCATCTATTTGTTCACTATTATCTAAACCTTTTGACAAATCATCAATTAGTCCTATTAGTTGTGTTTCACATGATCTATATTTCCTAAAGCCATGTTGGTATGGGGTGAGGACATTATGTTTGTCTACGTGTCTATATTGCTACATATTTTGTGTTCTAGTATATACATGTGATGCTGGTAAGTGATACTGGTCTGTAGTATCCTGGATCAGATTTTTTTCCTTTTTTAAATAGGGGTGTGACATTAGCTTCTTTCCAGTCCTTTGGTACTCTGCCCTGGTTAAGCGATGCCTGAAAGAGTATTTTGAACACTGGGGCTAGCTCATTGCTTAGTTCTTTGAGTAATCTAGCTGGAATACCATCAGGTCCAGACGCTTTATTTGGTTTGGTGTTGGCTAATAGTTTTTAAATTCCATTTTCTTGTACTACTAAATCTTCTATGTTGTCTACTTGGTTCAAATTAAGAAATATGTCTTTGTCTCCTGGGGCTGAGAATGCTGATGCAAAGTATTTGTTTAGGATGTTTGCTTTAGTTTCATTATTATTATTTATTATGTTATGTTCATCTTTTAATGGCGCTATGCCTGTTGTTTCCATTTTCTTAGACTTAATGTATGACCATAGGTTTTTGTTGTTATCTTTAGATATTACATTGTTTATGTATTCACTCTGCAGCTGTCTGCTTACTTTTTGGGTTAGGTGTTTAATTTTTATATACTTTTTGTAAACTCTTTCTGCATTGGTTTCTTTAAATTTTCTATATAGGTTTTCCTTCTGTTTACAAAGCTTCTTTAGTCTATTATTAAACCAGCATTTATTTATTTTGTTTGATCTGTATTTAGTTGGTATATGATTTTCTATAATGCTTTTAAGATGGTTTTTAATGAAATTCCAGAGGTCATCGACTGGTTGGTTAATGTCTTTTTCTAATAAGAATGTTTGTTGAAAGTTTAATGCAGCTTGGTGTAGTTGTGTTAGGTTACATTTATTCCAGAGTAAGATTTCTCTTTTGGTTTTGTATTGGCTACTGCTTTTATCTGACTGTATTTTTATGATCTCATGGTCTGATAGACCAGGGATAATATCATAATCAACTACTAATCTTTTGTTCCCCATAGCTTATGTTGCCCATAGCTTATGTGGTACTTTGTTCTCATGTGTATGTTCAAGTGTTCAGACGAGTAATCCTATGTCTGCGATTAACTGTGCAGTGGTTTCCAGATCTGGCAGCTCTCAATATAGTTTTTGTTCAATAAGGTGGTTTTAGGCCCAGTACTTCTAACTTGTTTGGGCCTATCTACAGTGCATGCAGCTCACGTTTTTTTTTAAATACAATCAGAAGAGATTACAAATTGTATACCATTGAACTACACAACAGAAAACTACTTACTGTTCACGTGTAGCACATAGGTCAGTGATAGATTTCGTTTGTGCAGTACGTCATCAACTACGCAAGAAAATTCAGGAAAAAGTAATTAAGACAAACACATTAGGAAGTAATATCAATTTAATTATGTTGTGTTAAATCAATATTCAACAATAAAAATGTTTTGAAGTTAAACAGGTCTAAACAATTTCTGCTAGACAACCAAACGAAGAAATATAATATTTTATTGACACTCGATTTGTACTAGATTTGTGTCGTTAGAGAATAAAACGGGTTGCCTGAATCAGACAGGAAAACATTTGATATTATTAAAGTCTCGTATTGACATGTGTGACTATTAAAAGATGGATTTGTGAAGGAAGTAATTATTTTTAAAAGACGTCTGTAGCTTATAAGATATTGGTCTGAATAGTTGCTTGGAGATTTCAGCCAAAAGAGTACCAGGTCCATATAGTTATCTTCAAATTACTAATAGTGTTGGCACGCTTTCACATCGTTATGCTTACAATAAATACACAATTCAGCATGACTATGTGGCGCATATTAGAAGTTATTCCCTTCTAGACCCTTCATCTATTTTGCAGTTTCTGTGTCCCACGATTAACGAGGGTGTCATGTGGCCAGCACAACAAGAGATATGATTAGAGAGGATGAATAATGACATAGCATGGCAGACGAGCTACACAAAAGAGATATGATTAGAGATGATTAATTAACATAGCTTGATAGGTGAGATACACAAAAGAGATATGATTATAGAGGAATAATTAACATGGCATGACAGACGAGCTACACAAAAGCAAGTTTTCAAACAAAAAAATAAGAATTCATGATAGTCTGCATTGTTAGCAGCTGTAGTGTGTTAGGTGTGAGAGTGTGAGGTTTCTTATTGTCATTTGTAGTCAGTGGTTCCCAAACAAAATAGTGAGGACAAAATAGCGCTATACTTTTTAAACATTGGTAAAATGAGATGAGATAATTACTCTCTTCCTCTTCAAATATGGCTTACTTTTAGATCAAATAATATTGAAGTTGATATAGATCTTCACAAAAATGCTGCTTAGTACCTTCACTTACTAAAATCCGGTACTTTTATACACAGTACTTGCTTATTTTCATTATTTAGATGTTTGTCCTTAAGACGAATTACATAGCACTCGTTTAAAAAGATTCATCACTAAACATTATTGTCCTCACAATCAGGTGCTATTAATTATTGTGATCATCATTAGCGCTTCTTCAAAGAACAAAAATTACAAATTAATTGTCTGCATCACTTACAATTTGTTCAACAGGAATGTCTAGCTTTGTAAGATGTAGCTTTGTCTGAGAACTTGACACATTGGCTGTTGATGGATATTTGAAACCTTGAGCTTTGTTTGTTCTAAAACAGGATCATCATCCCATGGTCCAGACTAAACAGCTTGCCACATAGATTTGTTTGGGGAATATTTTAATGAAGCCACAGAGACTTGGTACCATTTGACTCCACAATATTT